CAACTAGGTAGTATTCATACCCAGACCACCAAAAGGATCTAAAAAATAGATCCCCTAAGGTGGTTCCTTTAAAGTACCCCTTAGTAGTATAGGGTCCCAAATTAGGGGATCTATTTTTTAGATCCTTTTGGTGGTCTGGGTACCTGCCTCTTGAACCAGGGGACTTCACTGTTGTCAGGGCTGAGAGCCTTCTATGGTTCCGGGCACTGGGCTGTTTAGGGTTTAGGGTTTCAGGTTTAGGGATTAGGCACCTCAGTCCGTGCTGAAAAAGGGATTAGGGTTTCTTGCTCCAACTCCGGGCGAAGTGGAAAGCCTGTTGCAAAAAAGGTTTAGAGTTTCAGGTTCAGAACTGTTCGTGAACTTAACTTCAACTTGTCAGAATAAGGAAGGAACTTGGCAACGAACCTTTTTTGCAGTCTACAAGCCAAGCTTATGCCAGCCTCCTGCTAGAAACTCGAAACCTGGGTATGTCAATCCTGAACCCTATAAGCCCTAAAATCAATGCCTGAGAATCTCTAAGACGTTCTACCCCAGGACTCAAAATCCTAAGCATATCCGAAGAACCGAAACTCTAAGACCGCTAGATCCCAAGCCCTAAGGACCTCTAGGCCAGGCATCCCCTAAGCCGCCAGGCCCACGTAACTGCTGTTGAAAGTTTAGCCCGGGGTACCTTTGAATCCTAAACCCTATACCCCAGATCCTAAAGTAAGCCCTGGAAACCCTAAACCCTAAACCCTAAACCCTAAACCCCTAAACCCTAAACCCTAAACCCTAAACCCTAAAGTAAGCCCTGGTATCTCATCCCTAAAGTTAAAACCTTCATAGAACATGAGTTTAAGCCTTTTAGCCTTAGTAACCCCTTAGGCTTCCTGAGAAGCCCAGGTATTTCATCCCGAAGCCCTCATAGGGCCTTAATGGAATCCTTCTAGTAACCCTTTTAATGGACCCTGAACCCCTGCAGTAACCCTCTAAAGGAGCCTAAAGCCGAAAATACAGGTCTCTCGTCCTTATCCCTTTTTTTTGGGAACCCTTAGCCTTAGTAGATCCCTTATAGCAAGCCTTTAAAGGAGCCCACGCCTTCCTGGCGCCCTTTAAAGGGAACCCCAGGCCTTCATAGAAGCCTTATAGTAACCCTTTAAAAGGATCCCCAAAACGGAAGATCCCTAAAGCCTGAGTGACGCGAGCGTGAGAGTCGAAAAGCCTAAGTGACGTTCTCTTTGGTGCAAGCTGTGGAGGGTGCTGCCAGTGAAGCTTCCACGGTTCCCGCTACTGGACTGAGTCAGCTGCGAGACCCCCCGGCTGGGGGTGGACCTGAATGTCGAAGTGCCGCTGGACTTCCAGGCCTGTCAGGAGTTGTATGATCGGTGGAGTGCAGGCGAGGTCTCGGACAAGGTCGTGGAACAGCAATATCGGCCAGCCGCGATTGAGATGATTCAGGCGCAGAAATTAGTGCTCGCTGATGACCAACCCTCGCAGTCGGTGACGCTGGCAGGTGATAACGGAGCTCGTGGCAGTGGACGGAGGGAACAAAATCCCAGGGGTGAAGGGTCTTCCGGGGAGGTCTCGGCTACTCTGTTGGATGCTACGCTTACAACGTGCCGATCAGTAGACACGGACAGTGCCGAGTCTACACGACACGAAGGTGCCGAATGATGACAACATGAATGATGGAGTCAGGGAGTGTCGAAGGGAAGGGTCAGCAAGAAGCAGTGAGTGAAGCCTAAAGGTATGTCACACTAGCCTGCCTCATCGAGGCTCTCCGACCTGTTGCAAGACGGAAAGAGGCCCTCAAAAAAAAACGTTAAACCCTTAAGCCCTGAACCCTATAAGCCCTATAAGGCCCAAAACCCTAAAACACTAAGCCCCTAAAACCTTAAACCCTAAAACCCCAAACCCAAAAGCCCAGGCATAGAGCCTTCATGGAGTCTCTCTAGTAACCCCTTAAGGGCCCTAAGCCCCTATGGTAACCCTTTAGAAGGAAGGACAAAGCCGATAAATCCCAGGTATCTCCCCTATACCCCAAAACCGAAAACTTTAAACTTTGCTTTAAACCCTTAAAGGGAACCCCAAAACCGAAAAGCCGTAAAACCCTAAACTCCTAAAGCTCTAAACCCCGATATTAACCCTTCAAAAATCTAAGGTAGAACCCATGGGCCCCTAGTATGGGCCCTTAACCCTGGGACCCTAATATACCTACTCTATACCCTATATATACCCTTAAGGGACCCTAGAATCCCCTAAGGGCCCATGTTAGGGGCCCATGGGTTCAACCTTAGAAAAAAGAGCCGAGAAGCCCAGGTATATCCCCTAAAACCGTTCACCCCTATAGTAACCCTTTGAAAATGCAACCCTTAAGCCTTAGTAGAACCCTTATAGCAACCCTTCCAAGGATCCCAAAATACCGAAAAGCCCAGGTATCTCTCCTAAACGCTTAAACCCTAAACCTGATAGCAACCCTTTAAACGGAGCCCCGCCCAAAAAAAACACACGAAAAGCCCAGGTAAAGAGCCTTAGTGGAACCCTTGTAGTGACCCCTTAAAGGCTCTAAACCTTATAGCAACCTTTTCAAGGAGCCGAACATACTGAAAAGCCCCAGGTATCTCATCTTCTACGTCTGCCGGGCCTGGGCTCAATCTCGGGTCGGGCCCTCGGTAGATTCTAGGGTCTGTTTCGGTTAAGGTTTAGGGTTTTTAGGGTTTGAGGTTGAGGGCTTTTAGGGTTTAGGGTTTTTAGTTTGGAGGTTGAGGGTTTGAGTTTAAGGTTTTTTTGGTTGAGCGTTCATAGGGCTTAGGGGCTTATTGGGCTTTTAGGGTTTTTAGGGTTTAAGGTTAGGGTTTACGCTTTTTAGGGTTTTTAGGGCTTTTAGGGTTGACGGTTGAGGGTTCTGTTAAGGGTTTAGGGTTTCTTAAGACTTTTATAGGGTTTATAGGAATTAGGAGATTAGGTTTTTCGGAGACATTAAGCCCCCTTATACTTCGTTGAGATGTATTGGGTGTTGATTCTTCTCGCTGGGTGCTTGAATTGCCTGAACGGCAGAAAAAACGATCCGCACCGCCGCTCAGCATAGCGCTATTGCCCCGTCCTGCCTGGATTCAGGGCTTCGTCCGTGACCAGAAACAGTAGACACAAGCAGCTTTCGTGTAACCCATGAAAGAAATAAATGCCAGCATGCATGCCGTTTTGCACGAGCATGACATGTTCATTCTACGTGTCGACGCGGGACGTTCCACCATGTTTTGGCTGACAGTTGGTTACGGAGGCCGCACTTAAACTCTAGTATACAGTACATGTGGATCGGTTTTGGAGGATTGCCCTTTCGTGATGCGCCTAGCTTTGACAATTACAGAAGCCCATTGATGAAGCATTGGGCCGAGTACAGGAATTCCTTACAATGGCGAAGTCCATCGGTTCATTTGTGCATACACCCATATATGACTATATACAGACTAACATACACATAACTTGACATCCACATGATTTTTATTCATCGAGGCATCGCATAACGAATGATATTCCTTCCGGCATGTTTTGTCGAACTCCTGATGGGCGCTGTAACAGGCGAAGACCCCGACCCAAATCTCGAACGTTCACGTAGTTCTTCCTTAGCTTTTTGCTGGCTTTGGCATGAATGTCCGGCAGGTCTCAACAATCTTCCGTTGAAGTTGGACATAGTATATATTCAAAGCTTTCACAAAGTTAGTTGGACATAGTGTTCGAAGCATTCACAGATTTGCAATGGCCTTCGCCCCAACGCTTCGCTGTAGCATCGTGGCTTTTCTAATAAATTTAGGTACAGAGTTCAGTCATCCATACATTGACACAAAGTCACCGATGTTGTTTGTGGAAATCTAAGCCGGGGCCGCAGCAATGCTGCCTTTGGCTCGTCCGACGGACCATGGCGGTTTGGGTATTGCAGCGACGGCGAGCAGCGGAAGTCACGAGTGGCAGCTTGCAGTTCATCTGGCACAAAATGCAGCAAGCAGTGGGAACGAGAAACCTTTCCTGCAAGCGATCGTTGCCTGCGGAACAGCCCGACAGTGGGAGGCAGTTCTCCGAATCTTGTCGAACATATCTTCGAGCAGCAAAGCTCCCAGCGTCTGCAGCTTCAATGCCGCGATAACGGCGTGCGGACGTGGATTCATGTGGCAGCAGTCGCTGGTTTCAATGCTGGCATCAGTGCCTGTGAGAAAGGTGGCGCGTGGCAGATGGCACTGTACTTGCTGTCGCAGATGCCGGCAGCCGGGGTTGTCCCAAATCAGGTCAGTTTCAGTGCTGGAATGAAAGGTGGTGAGTGGCAGACGGCACTGTGCGTGCTGTCGCAGATGCCTTTGGCCAGAGTTGTGCCGAATGAGATAAGCTTTGCTGCTTGCATCAAATCATGTGGCACAGCCCGCATCTTCGAGCTGGCCTTTTCTCTTTTTGCGTCGATAAGAGGGAACCAGCTACAGCCAGCTGCAGGTTCGTATGGACAAGCCATAGATGCAGCTTGCCACGAGGCGGTCGTTTTCGAGCTTTTCGATCAAGCCCTGCAGGACCAGACGTGGCCAGACATGTTGCAGAGAGGTGGAGCTTGGCTTGATCTGCATGACCACTCCTGTGGTTCAGCGATTCTTGCGGTGTCGTGGTGGCTCGCAGAGGTTGTCCCTAAGCAGCTTGCCCGGACGCGGAGACACGAATCGATGTCGTTCGCAGTCATCACAGGCTGGGGGAAATCCCGCATGCCTTGGCAACCTGCTGGCTCAGACCTCCAGGTGTCAGTCCACAGATTCTTGGATCAACATGCTATCCCGCGCAAGGTTCATCCGCAGAATCGTGGGCTTTTACAGCTGAATCTTCGAGGACTCGACCCAGGGCAGCTTCGTGCACTGTACCCATCCTCACCGACAAGACCAAAACAGTGATCGAAGTCTCTCAGAATCAGGAAATGAAGCCATCGCCTGTGGGTGTCAAAAATATCCTAATCCCTAAACCCTAAGCCCTAAACCCTTTTCGTGACGATCCGAGTCTGTCCTTCTGCCTTCCGGCAGCGGACAAAGAGCGGAGAAGTGTGTTGGACATCGTCCTTCTGGGATCCTTTCGGAACCGTGAGAACCCGGGCCCTGGCTTAGGTCGCTCACGACCTAAACCCTACACACCCTAAACCCTAAACCCTAAACCCGGAAGATCCCAAACCTGAGCCCTTACCCCAATTACGACCTTAACCCGCAAGAGTGGGCAAAATTCCTTCTAGGGTTCCTCACGGGATCTATCAGGGTTCTATAGGGTTTAGGGTGTAAGGGCCCATGTGTCCAAATTGTATAAATATACTTTGGCCTCGAAGTACTCCCTAGCTAGGTACTCGGGGGCCAAAGTATATACTATTAGAGCACACATGGGCCTTTAGGGTGAAGTACTGCATAAAGTTCTACTCGAGGTTGGGCCTTTGGGCGTGAGAGTTGGATGTAGGGCTAGGGCTTGGGGTTTAGAGTTCAGGGCGGTAGGGTTCAGGGTGTTCGGGTTTGCGATTCAGGGTGTCGAGTTGCAAGGTGTCGTAGCTCCGAAACCCAAGCATAGACAGACGAGGCAAGCACTTGAGTCAGTCGTATATAGAACCCTAAAGACATTGAAACTGAATATATTGTAAGCCCTCGCCCCAGCCACCAAACCTTAAACTCAGCAAGGTCTTCTTGTGCTTCGGTGCGCTTACCGCCATCCTTGCCATTGGCGGGCTGTGGGCGGGAGTGCCTCTGGGCACGCTGGCAACCTGCGTGGGCTTTTGCTTCTTCCAGATGGCCCAGTTTGAAGGAATGCCGGGAGCTGAGCTTTGAGTCAGTGTTTTGGGGTTGAGTGTCTCGGGATCGAGGTTTTAGCCGTAGGAGCACTACGGTGTAGGATTACCAGGTAGCCACTGATGGTTCCGTATGAGGACATGAGAGTGCCGTACTTCGCGTCGCCCCCAAGCACCCTAGGTCTAAGTGCGCAGAGCTGTCGAGGAATGCCGACACTCCTGGCGAAGAGAATTGACATGAATTACAAATAGCCACTCCAGACAGCTCCCTGCTCCAAAACCCTATTCTGAGTATTAAGGCCCAAGAACACGTCATGTATGTCAGTCCCAAAGCGACACTGATTTTACGTACTCAGGGCTTTAGCTCCTACTCCCGATGTTAGAGGCTTTCACGCTAGTCCGGACTCCTCCGCCTTACAAAGCCTCCGGATTACAACTCTGGAGTCCTACATGGGGGTTTCCGAAAATAGGGGACCCTAATATAGTACCCTAAATGATAGGGTCCTTACTATAAGCACCCTAAAATAAGGTACCCCTTGTTTTTGGAAACTCCCACATCTCGAACCTAGATAACTACAAGTTATTTAGGAACTTTAAAGTTCCTTAGGATTTCTTCGTAGAAGTCTAGCTATAGTATGCTATGCCCCAACAAAACCCTGCTCTAATTATTCAGGCCCTTTCTTCTGGCACTCGGGCTTATCCCTGTGGGTTAGAATTTGGTCCTTGCGTTGATGGTTTCAGTGCCCAGTTCTTTACAAGTATTAAAACCAAGAACTGACGTACGCTACCCTATCTTCTACCCTTACCCAACTACCTTTCTATGGGGGCCTTTGGACTCCCAGTGCATCCCCCACAAGCACCATGATTTTTTTCTGAAAGCTACTGCGAGCGCACAACGGCTGTCAGAGCTTTCCATCCGTAACCCTCCCAACCCTAAATCCCCAAACCCTAAACCTGTACACTGTTGACATCTCTTTAACCCCAAAGCCTTATTAACCCGAAGCGCCTGAACCCGGAGCGGCTACAGGACTTCAGCGCTCAGGCTGTGCCCCTCCAGTCCACCAGTTGATATGTAGGGTAGTTATCTAAATTAGGGTCCCTTTGTTTAGGGTTTAGGGTGTAGGGTCCTGGCATATGCATAGTCCAGGTGTAAAAGGGTGTAGGGTCAGGGTCATATTGATAAGGATGCCGTACTATCAAGTGACTTAAACAGGGACCCCAGTCTAGAGAACTACCCATGTGTCCTCCCCGAAGCTCAGGTGTTTTTGCAAGGTTTGCACGAGGGCCTAAATTAGTAGAATGGGGTACTGGGGCACCTCATACTGCAGCCTCTCCTCCCGGGGTGCACCGAGATAGAAAGGGAGGTTGCTCTCAAGTGCTAACGGTTTAGGGTTTAGGGTTTTAACCCTAAACCCTAAACCCTAAACCCTCTAAGTCCGTAAGATTGGAATTTGGCACATCGTCCACCAAGCAAGCTTGGCCCCGTTTCCTTTAGTTGCACCATGTACCTCAAGTCACATCAAACTCAGAGGTGCTGTGCTCCGTGCTCTTTGGGCATTGAGAGCCGAACCCCCGGACCTCATGAGGATTTAGAGTTTAGGGTTTAATGCCACGAGCCTTTTAGATCCGAGTTCGATGACCTTCACGCACTTGCTCAACGTGCTGAATGCCTTGCAGCGCCTCATGAAGTACGTCTCATTGCCGGCAGAGGCGAGGTGGGGTTTCGAGGTTGTTTCGGTAGACCCTGTAGGCCTGCCTATTAGGATTACTGTATCGTATGAAGCTCTCCAAGAACCTAGCCCGGTTCATTCAGGCCTTGGTCTTGGCTTTGGGGTAACGCGGGTAGCCTAGACCCAGGCTTCTGAGTATTGCTTTGTAAAGCCGTAAGCAATTGAAGACTGAGCTCTTATGTTCCACCGCCGTCGAGTGCGCGTGGCATATGCCTTGCGTTTGACGGTTGTTGGGCAAGTTTAGAACTGTTCAGTGTATAGGAGTTCAGGGCTCAGGGCAAGTTTTGACACGGGCATTGTGATCAGGCGGCCTATGACATGCCAACGGACTACATCGTGCGTCGGCACGTCAAGGTTGATCGTGACCTCGCCATGCGCCTGCAGATGAAGCAGGCGAGAGGCATGCATGCTCAGCGCACCACAAAGCTGAAGGTAAGCCCTAAACCCTAACTACGCATTTATATTATTCCTGAGGTTTCCTTACGATAACTATACTACAATATGGTCCCCAAACCTTATTCTACTTATTAAGGTTTCTACATCACATGAATATGCCCCGACCCCGGCCCAGGGGAGTAGTCTGCTGGAGGGCTCGAAACAATTGGAAGCTGGCTGGATTGTACTTGTTGGGGTTGGGCTGTGAGGTTATTTGGGGCTTGCCACCTGACATCAATGTTAAAGGCCAGGACCCGGCACATTAGCAGAAAGCGCAACCGTAATCGCGACACTGCCATGGAGCTTCAGCTTCATATACTCGTCATTATGAAGATCATAATCTGATGATGAGAACGGTGTTTGCTGGGCGCTGTTGATGTTGATGATGGTGCTGATGCTGGTGCTAACGCTGGTGGCCTGTGTACGCAATGGTATGATGCTTAGCTTAAGCGGCAGCGGTGCAGAGCTGGGCACGGAAAGTACAAACAAGTAAACCATGCCACCCAGATCAGCAAAAACCGATGTGAGTCGTAAGAAAAGGCTGATATTACCAGAGTCATCGACATTATGGCGATCGGCATAGCCACAATCATCCCAAACCCCCCAAACCCTAGACCATTCTAGTCCATTTGTTGCTCTGACGATGACTATACCTAGCCTTGGCCTGCATCGTCCTCGAATCGCTCTCTTGGATCTTGGCTTAAGCTTTCCCCGCCCCCCGAAACTCGGGACATTGAAGCTTGCCGCATCGCCCTCCCCTGCCATGATGCGCTCCTTGACCCTTGGCAAGGATGTCACATACTATCCCTTTAAGAGGCTCAATTAAGGCATCCAATAAGGGTACCGAATGGGTTTCGGGTTGAAGGACCCATATACCCCTATCGCGTCTGCATTGGCTCAGAAAGTACATATATAGGAACCCTTTTAAGGTGTAAAGTTTCGTATAGGTGCAGTGACCCCTAGCGTATGATTTGCCTTAAACTGCTACAGGCTTTTTTTGGTGTTTTCTCTGCTCAGAAACCCTAATACAGAATTTCAAGGGGCCCTACAACAAGTAGGTTTTGGTAGCCAAAAATACCCCTTGACCCTAAACCGCAAATATGAAATATAGAACTCTGCTAGAACGCTTTTTGGAGCATGTCTAGAATCCTAGAACCGATTATAGAACCCAGAGGGTCCTAAGTACTGTTATGGGGGATACTTCCCTAAATCATAATAGTAATTCCTATTAAAATAGAAACCCTACATTGTACTATATAGGTACTTAGGACCCTTTGGGGAACCTTCTAGGATCCTAAAGCCCTTATAGAACCCCACAGCGGATGTTGGTCTCCGTGGGTTTCAGCTTCGACCTTCGACTCGCCTGCGCCTGCAGCACCCTGAGCACGAAACCCCGAAAAAGGTTCCTACTTTAACCTCTACAAAGACCTACTTTTGTTGTAGGCCCGTGTGTTTATGTATATATATATATATATATATATTTGTATATATATATATATATAAATATATTTTTCATTTGTTTATATTCAAATATTCGTACATATATATATATATACACATACGCACACACACACACATATATATATATATATGTATATATATATATATATCATATATTTTCATATATGTAAATACTGTCGTTTAGGGTTTGTATGGTCAGGTATTGGTAGTCCTTGGAACCCAAAACCGAAATCACTCATGATGAATAGCTGAATAGCAGCAAACTCTCACGTAGCTTTCGTGCTACCATCCCTACAGCCTGTTGGAATTCCAGTTTGAGTGTCAAAGAGCGGAAGAAATCCACGAACACAAAGTGTAAAATCAATGCTGTAAACGTCCTCGGGCTCTTGCATAAGGGCTCCAGAAGGGTTTGAGTCAAAAACCAATTTCGGTTTTGAGTGTAAGAGGGGTCGTCGGCAGTTTCCACCCAAACTTCAGTTTGCCATTGGGCCATGAGTAGGACGAGACTTACTATGTAGGGTCACTAGTGGACAGAGCTGACCCCTCCTTACTACGTTACCTGGTGCTCCCCTGAACGCAAAGCCAAAACCCCTAAACCTTAAACCTTAACCCATCCGCTGTAGTATAGTGGTTAGTATTTCCGAGTGTCAAACCCTAAACCCCTAAACCCTAATTATACCCTAAAGATGAAGAGACAGACCTGACATCATGACCTGATCAACACCCCGCTGAGACCTCAAAGGTCGAGACTCTGCACAAGGGGGGGCTTGGACCCTGGACCCTTTGGGGTTTAGGGCTTTAGGGGTTTAAGGTTCAGGGGTTTAGGGGATCAGGGTTTAGGGTTTTAGGGGTTTAGGGTTTAGGGTTTAGGGATCTAGGGTTAGGCATTGAGTTCCCGTCCCAAACCCAAAACCCAACCTTAAAAAAGGACCGGACTTCTGATGGCCTGGTCCCTCGTTGGCATCCGGGCCTTTTCGCTCTCCTTGGACGCTGCGGATGGCGGGAAGCCTGTAGGCAAAGTTGTCGCCACCAGGCTGATATATTGGAGGAAACTTAAGATTTTGACTTTACGGTGTGGGGTTTAGTGGTTCAGGGTGCGAACCTCGTTCTTGACAGGGCTTCTCAGGAATACCTACAGTTAGAACAAAACCCCCAGGCCGCGATAACATCATCCGTAGACTCAAGGCACTCGGCTGCATAGTTACATGGTGCTCTCTGTCGTGGGACAGCGAGCTGTTGAGGCTTTGCTCGAGACGATGTCAAAGAAGTTGGAGGAAGACCAGAAGGCGGATGAAGACATGAAGGAGACGGGACTTTGGGTTTTACGATTTTGTGTCAATCGCGGCTGACAGACCTCTGCATCCGTGGCAGAGACAGAAGAAGAAAGAGAGACAGACAGACAGACAGACAGAGATGACTGGAGCTCTCATGAAGACATGGAGTCAGAGGGGGTTCAGGGTTGTAGGGAACATTAGAGTCCAAGCATGTAAGGTTCCAGGAAGACATACAACCACTCCTCGGAGTCGATTCATTTGGCCGAGGATTCCGGATTTCTGTTCTCGAGGTCGAGCCAGACAATCCCCAAACCCTAAACCGAAGAGCTTAAACCCTAACTAAACCCTAACAGGAGAAGATGGATTGCTGGTGCAAGACCAACCAGGATGACAAGGCCGCCTCGGCCTCTGCGGCCCAGGACTGGCCCTTGGGGATTATTCGAGATCGCTGTTCGGTTGAAAAGAAGAAGGTTTCCGGATTCCGTATGCACCCTAAACCCGTAAACCCTAAA